CACACACACACACACACACACACACATATATATTATAGTATAAAATATATATAATTATATTTTAGAAAGTTTATAATTATATAAATGACACACACACACACACACATATATATTATTATATACATTTTTGCTTCATCACTGAAAACATATTCGTCTCTCTTGTCAAAGTTTATTTGTCCAGTACTATTCGTTGCAACCATTATTCAGCTCCTCGTCTCTCGCTCTCTGTTCTATTCATGAAAGGAGAAGCGAGGGAGGGGGTCAGTTCTTCTAATTGAAATTCTTTGCAGAGTCTCCATGGGAATAGTAAACTTTGGAGAGGGTTTGAAGAGAAAGGGGGAACAGGACAGAGAGAGTTATTGAAAAGATTTTCCCCACAAACTCTGAAGGCGGGAGGGATTGGAATGAGAGATGTTCATGTAAACCATGACCAGTGGACATGGACGTCCATGTAATGAGTGAGAGAGAGTTTCATTTCTGAGCCGGTTTCTCTGTTGTATTCTCCACAAACAATTTTCTTAGGGTTGCATGGAAAACCTAGAAATGTCGGGGAAGTTGAAGGCAAAGTCTGAAAAAGTTCAAAGTCTTGAAAAGTCATATAGCGAATATTAATTTGCCTAATTATTCTTGGCTCTAAAATATTTTATTAGCAATCTGTAACATATATATTTTTTTAAATCAGATTTTTTAGTTTATTTCACTTTAAAATATTTTATCAGTTTGAATTATTTATGTGAATCTCTATAAAAAAAATTTTTTTTTAAAAATTGTGTAAAAACGTGTAATGAGTAGAAATTGTGTAAATAATGGAAATCATGGGAATTTCTATGGTCAATATTTATACTTTGCTCTAAAATATTTAATCAGTTTGAAATGCTGCTTGTGTGTAAATCACTGTAAAATTATTATTATTATTATTATTATTACACAACAGGATATCAGGGAATTTTAAGACTTGGAAATGTCATGGAAATTTTTATAGTCAATATGAAATTGTCTAGTTATACTTTGCTCTAAAATATTTCATCAGCTTCATTTGTTTCTTGTGTGTGAATTTCTATATAAAAAAAAAAAAAAAAAATTAAATCAGATAATCATGCGCAACAGGATATCATGTAATTTTAAGACTTGGAAAAGTCGTGGAAATTTCTAGTCAATATTCATTTCTAATTCATTTCTTGTAATTACAGAAATCATGGAAATGAATTGGACAAAATGAGTGCACCAGTTTCCATCATTAAAAATGTATGTGCAAATCAAATCAAGCATTTAAATTAAGCATTTTGAAGTGCCACAAAGAACTTCTATTTTGTACCGCAGACACTCTTTTAGTTTGCCATTTGATGTCCAGTGTGACATCTGTGTCTTGAAGCAAACCCAGTTGTGAACCGCTGATCTTATGAAACATCAAGAAAAACAAAGAGGGCTGTTTGCTGAAGCTGAGGTGCTTCAAAGTGTTCACAGCCATCGCTTTCTCCTCTTTTATGTCAGCCCCTTTCTTTTGCTTCCATCCATATTCTCTTTCTTCTCTTTCTCTCCGTCCATCTCTCTCTCTGTTCCCCCTCCCCGCTCGGCCCCTCCATCTGCTGCCCTTCTCTGTTTCTCCAGAGCCTCACAATAGAGCCTCATGCTGGGTAATGGCTTAGAGTGTCTCATCCCTCTCTTTTGTGTGTGTGTGTGTTTTGTCTGCAGGTTGATGACGCGATGCTAATGTTTGACAAAACCACCAACAGGCACAGAGGTAAGGCAGCATTCAGGCACGCACACACGCAAATGCACACACTCGCATTCAAAGCCTCATTGAGTCATATAATTATACAACAGCAGTCAAGTGTCTACATGCTTCTGCACTCATTCAGGAGCTGATGTTAGAGCTCTTCTCTTCTCTTCTCTTCTCTTATCTTCTCTACTCTACTCTACTCTACTCTACTCTTCTTGAACTTAAGGAATATTTTACTGCTCATTCATAACTCAAGAAAAGTAATGGAGTTCTCATTTATACTTGAGCTTCTGTATCAACATCATCTCAGACATTTCTCCTAAAACTCTTCTGAAACAAAAATCCATATATGATATAAAAGATATACAAGTATTTAATATATTATAAACTATGGATGGATTAATTCTCTTAAGTCCTTTCATAGCTCATAGTTCAGGAGACTTAATAGAGTTACATATCATTTATATTTCAATATCAACTTTGTCTCTTTTTCTTAAACTTTTCAGTGTAACATGTCTTGATTGATGTCTAGAAATATTTAGAATGACTTGAAATGAAAGAGATCTAATTTGTGTTATTTTCCTGCACTTGTTAAAATATTTTACTGCTCAAAAGTTACTCATTCATAACTCAGGAGATGTAATGAAGTTCTGATTTATTTATACTTCTGCTTCAGTATCAATCTGGTCTCTCAGACATTTCTCCTAAAACTCTGAAAATGAAAATCCATATATGATAAAAGATATCAAATAATATATAATATAAATAATAGATTTCTTACTAAAGTCATATTAATGTTGCTAACTAAACTAAAGTTGCTCATTCATAGCTCATAGTTCAGGAGACTTAATGTAGTTACATTTAATTTATATGTCTGAATCAGCTTTGTCTCAGATGCTTCTCTTAGAATTTTCATTGAAACACATCTTGATTCATCTCTAGAACTAACTTGAATAATTGGATCTTAAAGAGATCTTAATCTTGATTTATTTTCTTGCACTTCTTGCTCAAAAGTTTCTCATTCATAACTTAGGAGATGTAATGGAGCTTTCATTTATACTTATGCTTCAGTCTCAACTTGATCTTTTCTTTTCGAGAATTAAAAATAAAAGATGCCGCTCAAAAGTTGCTCATTCATGACTCAAGAAATTTAATGGAGTTATACTTCAGTTCAGAATCAATTTTAATTTGGAGAAAGAAAAAAAAAAAGATCAAACATATTTATAAAAATAAATAAATAAGTGCACAAAGGTTGCTCTTTAATAACTTGATGAGGTCTCTTCTCTGCTCCTCACAGTCTCATGTAATCTCTGTTCAGAGGCATTGCTAAAGTTCATATAGGGTAATATGGGTTTGGTGTTGCTGAGCTGGTTAGTGGTTCAGAAGTTAAACCGTCATTCACTTTGGCAAGGAAAGTCTGATTGACAGCCGGTGGGCGGAGCCTGTAGTGAGTGACAGATGAGTGGGCGGGATCGAGTAGCACAGGTAAATGCAGCAGGTGAGGAGTTAATCTCCTGACAGAATGGACTGAATATATGAACAGATGTAAACAGAACAAAAGACAGAGAATGAGAAAGGAAAGGGGAAAGGTCATGCCAGGATTGGATCGGACACAACTGATAAACACACTAGATTCAATGTTTGAAAGCAACAGCATGTTTGTGATTGGTAAAGAGTGCATGTGTGTTCTTGCTCTGCAGGTTTTGGCTTTGTGACCTTTGAGAATGAAGACGTGGTGGAAAAGGTCTGCGAGATCCACTTTCACGAGATCAACAACAAGATGGTGAGAGTGGGTTCTGCTATGAAACGCTGTCTGTGTGTGTGTGACTGCGTGTTTGATAGGTTCATGATATGTGTCAAATGTTTCTCCTAAAATTATTTGCAAAACAAAAATCTATATGTAACATAAAAGATACAATCTAAAATAAAAGATTGAATAAATTCTGTCACTAAAAGAAATTTAAATTGCTCAAAAAGTACTCTTTTATAGCTCATTTAATATACACACACATTATTTATATATTACTTATATATACTTATATACAGTGTTTAAATAACTGGAAAATCCAAAATATGCATTAGCAGATTTTGTATATGAAATATTTAACGGTAAAATATATATAAAAATGGAAAAAAAAGTATAAAATAATATATATAGGAAATGTATTAGCAAAAAATATGCATATATAATATATATAATAACTTCAATAACTTGCTGAGATATTAAAGAAATCTCATTAGTGATTTCTCTTCTGTGTCTTTACTTGAGGAATATTTTACTGCTCAAATGTTGCTCATTCAGAACTCCAGAGACTTAATGGAGTTTCTTAGTTCTTAGACATTTAAGTATCAAGTTTGTCTCAAATGCGAAATTCTTAAAAAATAAAAATAAAAATTGAAACAAAGGATCAAAAAATCTTTATATCTCATCTCATCTCTTTTCTTCTTGTACTTGAGGAATATTTCACTGCTCAAAAGTTGCTCATCTATATTTATTTTTTACTTATTCTTCAGTATCAACTTAGTCTCAAGAATTAAAAATAAAATAAAAGATAATAAATATATTTTCTTACTAATGGAAAATAGGGTTATATTTCATTTAAATTTCACTGTCAGTTTTGTGCTTAAAACGTTTGAAACAAGTCTCAATTGATGTCTAGCGATAACTAGAATAGAGATCTCATTTGTGATTTTGAAGGTGGAGTGCAAAAAGGCGCAGCCGAAGGAAGTGATGTCACCGACAGGTACGGCACGAGGCCGCTCCAGGGTGATGCCCTACGGCATGGACGCCTTCATGCTGGGTATCGGCATGCTGGGTGAGTTGAAAGCTGGAAAAGGCTAATAATCTCAGTGAACACTTCTATATGAGCAAACCCAGCATCAGTGCAGCGCTGCAGTCCCGTCTGATGAGAGTCTGCCGCTGCCTGCTGTTTACAACGGGGAACTGCACTCGTGTCTGCGTGTTTGTCAATGAGACACAAATCAGAGACGAGAACAGAAAAACGGGGAAAATTTTTTTTTTCAAAATGAGTAGAATTACTGTCATTCTGTGGGTGGGGTGAATTTACAAAATAAACATTGCAAAATACATCAAATACCCATATAACAGTTAAAACGGGTGTTTTTATTTTATTTATATTAACAATTAATAATTTAACAGACACTAAGGAAAATTCAATAATTATGAATAATAATGAAATAAAATAAATAATATTGAAAATGATTAATTTATAATTTAAGTTAATTTATTGATCTAATGCAACAGACATTAAGTGCCGAATATCTCATTTCCATTAGTAGTTGAGGAAGAAAAGAGAAGCTGTTTTCTTCTTATTTGTGTTTAATACATTTTAAATCAATTGTAAGCACATTTTATTTCTTGCTTTTTGTTTTTATTTCTTATACATCTGTTATGATTATTTTATGTTCTAAAGCATTTACTAATCTTAGTTAATGCTAATCTCAACATTTACTAATACATCATTAACATCAAAATCTGTTAACATTAGTTAGTGCACTGTGAACGAACTAATTTTTTTTAACTAACATTAACAAAGGTTAATAACTGCTGTAATTATTAGTTCATGTTAGTTAAAGCACCAACTAATGTTAACAAATGAGACCTTATTGCAAAGTGTCACCAAACAATCCTGAATTGCCTTAAACACTATGCTTTCTCTATTCATTTTCAGGTTACCCAGGGTTCCAGGCGGCCACTTACGCCAGTCGTGGCTACACAGGAATCACACCGGGATACACATACCAGTTCCCAGGTAAGTCCAACTTCCCTTGTTTCCATCTGTAGAGAACTTTCTCAAATCCAGTCATCCACTGCAATGTCAAAATGCATTATTTTATCTCTTACAAGAAAGGAACAGTTTTTCCTCTTATCTGATAACTGCACATTTGTTGAAGTGGATTTGATCAAAACACACTCACAAAGACAGTAGTTTTTAAAGCTGCGTGTGGATTTCACCGGTATAGTTGATGCTTTTTGCCATGCGACCCAGCAAGACATTTCAGAGAGAATAAATATTTTTCTCTGTTCTCAGCACTACTCAGACTGTAATTGTTTCTCAGGTGACGTCACGTCAGTAAAAAAAAACATTTGCATGGTTCCTCTGTGATAAAACTCGAACAGGGCACGATAGACGCTGTCAGACAAACCAGAAAGTAGGAATTACACTTGATCAGTAACATGACCTTCAAAATGGCATTGACAATAGTTGACCTGTCGCTGCCAATAGGCTAATTTGATTATGCTTTCAGCTACAACCTGTAAATGCTGAAAATATATTGTGTCCTATTTGTCCAAATAAGGCTACTGAAAATCTATGCTATATACTAACGATAACTAACGATGTACTATATCATCAGTGCTTAAAGTGGAAAAAAAGAAGTGCCGGTACCCCCCCAAAAAAAATACATAAATAAATAAATTGTCATAATTCCCAATGCATGTATATAATGCCGAAAGAAAGAAAACTGTTAAGAGCATTTTTTATATAAATAAGCACCAGTTAAGCGGTGATACCAAACAGGACCACAGGGAGACGCCAAAAGACCACTAAACCTGCTGCCTTGACCAGACTGTACATGCTACTATACAGATCCATTCAGAATAACTAAACCACTGACCAGCGCATAATCTAAAACACCTTCAGCCGGCATTCATTATAAAACACCCAGACACTGACGCTTTGACTCAGTACCGGCAACATGTCAGAAGTGCCGGTACGCACGAAAAAGTGCCAGTACACTAAAGACTAAAATATTGAAGTGCCGGTACTGCGTATCGGTGCGTACCGGCCCACTTCAAGCACTGTATATCATAATACACTTAAAGATGTAAAATTGATTTGAGATATATTTATGTATTATTTATATATACTAGGGGTGTAATGGTTCATGTATTCGTCCCAAACCATCGCTGTACTGACGTCACGGTTCGGTTCATGCAGTCAGACGACAAATACAGAACTGGTTTTTAGTTTTATTTTGGCCGATCTCTATTCCAGGATTCAACACAAGCTGCATTGCAATCATTTCCCAAAATCTAATTTGAGTGGAATTTTTATGAAGTCTGTAAAGAGGAGAAAATACTGTACCAGGCAGATCAAGCTCACTGTTCGCGAAACTCGAAATATAATGACAAATATGTGGGGGTTTATATGAATGTATCTCTGAGAGGAACTGACCGTCTTCAAAAATATTGTCATTTTATATGTCATTTTTAGGGCTGCCACTAACGACTATTTTTATTTCGATTAATCTATCGACTAATTTGTCGATTAATCAATTAATCTAAACGATTAATTTCCCGCAAAAAATCTACAATTTTAAAGAACATTTTATTAAACTTGCAACTTTGCCATTCAGTAGTGTACCATAAAAAAGTATAAATGTAAACAAGCCATTGACGAAATGAAAAACTAAAAGAGTAAAAATGTAAACAAATCTAATAAAAATTAAATAAAAAGAAAATAATTACAAAAGTCTGAGAAAGTCAGCATGTTCTTAATGTCAATATATCCACATGTTCTGGGCTTCTGTTCATTACAGCTGTGAGTGAAACTATAAAGGGGAAAAAACATGTTTCAATTAACCCCACTAGATGGGTTTTCACATTAAATAAATGCAATGTTTAGAGTCCACTAGAATCGAGTATTAAAATTGTATTATTAAAAGTTATTACCGTATTGTCCCGAATATAAGACGATATTTATTTCTTGGAAATACATCTGAAAAAACGCAGTCGTCTTATATTCAGGGTCTAGACTTTGACATGTCAATAATACACCCACAAC